ACTGGGTCAGTCTGCTGCACCACAGTGTGCCTATCTTTCAGTTAGAGATCGATACGATTTGTTCTGCCCTGCATTCCATGTATGCTGATGCTTCTAGTGTGCCCAGATCTTATTATCCTGTGTTGCCTAGTTTAGGTGTGTTACCTGTGCAGACTCCCCTGCTGCAACAGGCGTAGGACCTTCTGCCTTGTCTAGTCTTGGCTCCACGCTTGCTTCTCCACCGGCCGCAGCTTTCACTTCGCTGTCCTTTACACTTGACTCTGGCGCGTCTGCCTGCTTCTTCCGCGACCACGCCATGCTGACGCCGCTTGCAGCGCCTTCCGCTGTTGCTCTTGCTGACCCCTCCTCCGGTCCTATCGTTGCCCGTAGCTACACTACCTTCCCTGTCCAGCGGTTCCCTCGGGTTCTCTTACAGTCCAGCACATCCCTTCCTTTACCAGGAACCTAGTTGGTGTCGGCTGTCTTCAGGACCTCGGCGTCACCACTACGTTCCCCGGTCACGAGCGGTACACTATCTGTACCGAGGCCACCTCAGGTGCTCCCGTTGCGATGTTCCCCCGGAACACGGTGTCTGGCCTGTTTACGCTGAACACTGCTTCCCCCCCGGTGGGCTCGTCCTCCCCGGGTCCTGCGTCTACCCAGGTCGTTGCGGCTTGCTCGTGTCGGTCGCTCACTCACCCGTTGCTTCTATGGCACCACCGCCTAGGTCATCCTGCACTCCGTGTCTACGTCACACGTCTCAGCACGGTCTCGTCCTAGGTCTCCCTGTGTTGCTCCCCTCCCTCCCTGTCGTGCTCTATTTGGTGTGTCTCACGTCACTCCCCTCCCGTCGGTTGTCCCGGTCGAGGAGTCAGCTGACTCTGGTGGCCCCATGACGAAGTTCTCGCCGCCTGTTTCTCTCCCGGTGTCCCCTCCTCCACCGTTGCAACAGCCGCCGCCATCGCAGCCGCAACAACAACCGCCACCGCCGCCGTAGCGGCAGCAGCCGTCCACGCGCTATGGGGGTGCGAGCGTTCACGAGGGTGCTGGTTCTGGGGGTGCTAGACCTGGGATTCCTATCGTGGCTTGTCTCAGGGGTGGCACAAGTGCTGGTGAGGGTTCTCATTCTGGGGGTGCTAGAGTGGAGCGTTCTGGAGGTAGCCGTGGTGCAGCAGGAGGTTCTTGTATCAGCGTGGAGTAGCAGCAACATTTGCTGCTGGTGTCTGCCCTTTGCCTGCTCGGCCTTCCCTCCCCTAACCACCCGTTCGCGCCTCCCCCGCCGCCGCCTCCTCTGCCTATCTACGGCCCTGTGTTTCCTCCGCCAGACTCGTCCTTGACTCATTTTCCTCCTTGTTCTCCTCCTGTGTCTCCTGACCCGACGCCTCCATCCCACTTCTGGTCTCGCCGACCCTCTCGTGCTCGTCCTGTCTCTCCAGTCCAGTGCTCTCACCCCATCTTGCTTCGTTCCCACGCGTCCCGTCCTCCCCTCCTCCCCTCACCTCCTCCGTTGTCGCTGGATGTTGCTCTGCCTCATCTGTCTGACTACCTTCGTGCCACTCGTCCTCTTATTCCTCGGGTCCTTGCCTCCCTCGTTACCGACTCGTCTGTTCCTGTCTCGAGTCTTGACGATCTTGTCGCTGTTGTCGCTGACCTCGCCTCTACCAGCCGCCTTGACTACGCCACAGCTCTGGTCTCTGGCCCTGACTGCCCTCCGTCCGTCGGGGGTGCTCCTACCCTTGGCAGTGACGCCCTAGAGGACAGGCAGTGCAAGCTTGCTTTCCTATCTGAGGCCGCTCCCCATCTCTGTTCCATGCTGCTAGTCCCTGAGGGTGACCCAGACGCTCTTGACATCCCGACCCCTCGCACTTACGCTGAGGCGACCTCGGGACCCTGGGCCTCTTAGTGGATAGCTGCCATGGAGCAAGAGATGGCATCGTGGAGACCTACCGGCACCTTCGTCGACGCAGTTCCCCTGCATGTGGTGAACGTAGTCGATGGCTGCTGGCTCTTCAAGGTGAAGCGCCCTCCTGGAGAGCCGCCTGTGTTCAAGGCGCGCTACGTGGCTACAGGCTTCAGTCAGCGCGAGGGTGTGGACCTCTTTCAGGCCTTCGCCTTGACCCCGAAGATGACTACTCTTCGGGCACTGCTACACGTAGCAGTACAGCGTGAATACGAGCTAGACTCTCTCGATTACTCCACAGCGCTTCTTCAGGGTAGTCTACATGAGCAGGTCTACCTGCGCTGTCCACAGGGCTTCACTGGTACCTCCCTCCTTGGACCCAGTGGCTCCTCCGGCGCCCAGTCTACGACCTGCGTCAGGTGCCCCGTGAGTGGCACGACACGCTGCGTGCCATGCTAGCTGACCTGCAGTTCTTCCCGTCGTCTGCAGACCCCTCGCCCTTTGATCATGCTGGCCAAACTCCGTTCTATATCCTTGTCTACGTAGACGACCTGCTCTTCGCTACTGCAGACAGAGACGCACTTGCCTCAGTGAAGGGTGAGCTGCTGAGGAGACACACCTGCACTGACCTAAGAGAGCTGCATTGCTACCTTGGCCTGCAGATCTCCAGGGACAGAGCAGCGCGCACCATCATTCTCACGCAGTCACACTTAGTGCGCCAGGTTCTTCAGAGGTTCGGTCTTCAGTTCTCCTCCGCACAGCCCACACCTCTGCCAGTAGACCACATGCTCTCGGCTCCAGTTCCTGAGGAGTCAGTAGAGCTTAGTGGTCCTTACACAGAGCTGGTGGGTTGCGTGATGTACCTGATGACATACTCTCTCAGCATCCTGACGCGCTTTGTGGCCACAGGGAGACACCGACCACAGCACTGGTCGGCAGCTAAGAGGGTTTTGCGTTATCTAGCAAGTACATCGGGCATGGGACTCGTGCTGGGAGGTCGCAAGCCAGTGGTCCTTATAGACCACACAGACGCTTCGTGGGCAGACGATGCTGAGACACTCAGGTCCTCCCAAGGCTAGTGCTTTAGCCTTGGTTCAGGTGCCATCTCGTGGAGGTCCACCCACTCGTCGTCTGTTGCCCGATCTAGTTTCGAGGCTGAGATCTACGCTGGTGCCATAACGGCACAGCAGCTCCGCTGGTTGACCTTCTTGGCCGAGCTTTGCCCTGGTCTTGTTCGTTGACAATGGGGCCATGATCCTCCTTTGTCAAGAGCCTGGACTCGAGGGCAGAGCCAAGCACATCCAGCAGCGGTACTTCCTCATGCGCGAGCTACAGCAGTGCCGCTAGGCCCGTGTAGTACACTTGGCCTCCGGTGCCAACATAGCTGATATCTTTACTAAGACGCTTGCGCCTAAAGATCATCAGCGACACTGTTTGCAGCTTGGTCTAGTTCCTGTGGCTCCTCACTTGCTAGGACCTTGATTGCATACTCCTCTTTATATATCCATGCTTGACTGGCCTTATGGCTACTATTCTAGTGGCCAGACTATTAGTGCTGCCTTGGTTTGCTCTTGTCGAATTTATACTCTTGTTGACTGGTCTTCGGACCCTTGTCTCAGAGGTTGGACTAGTAGTGCCGCCTTGAGTTGCTTGTCTCTTGCCTGGCACTGCCCCTTGTCCAGTCTAGGGGGTATGTCAAACATATTTGTATATGTTGCTGTAGTCTAGATAGGGTCATGCCTTAGAGAGCACAATACATTAGGTCAAAACTACCATGTACCCTTTATTCTAGTTTATTGTGCTACTCTGAGAGCTACCACGTTACCGAGCGAACCTGAACATCCAACCGCTCGCCGAGCCTACTGTCGAACCTGCGAAGGTTCTCATCCATAGGATCAAGGATCCTCAAGGGGCTTGCCTGATCGAGCTTCTGATATCTTGGAAGGACCGGACGGCCCTAGAAACAGTTGGGTGCCCCTAGCACAGATCGAGAATTACCTAGTGTTACGGACCTACCTCCAGTCACGCAACGTACGCGACGTCGGTGGTCTTAGCTAAGACCATTCCTTGGAGGGGGGAGTGTGTAAGGAAATGGTATTTCCTTATCATGAGTTTTAGACAGTAAGGCGTATACTGCTATAACGGGGTTGCCGCGCAGCTCTGCTACGAAATTCAAATTGCGGTCCCAAATGTGGTCTCCTGACGATTCGCATACAGTGTTGCCCCCCTTGCTGTTGCATGCCTAGATCTGGGCGCTCCGCGTCATTTTACGAACCATACGTCGCAGCTCTGCTGAGCCACGACTGTGTGCTCCTAGGCTAGCTATATCCATGCTCCCCGCTGTTTTTGATTGCCTGAATTGTACCATATTCCCTCAGATATACGCACCGCCGGTTAAAAAGCACCATGGTGTGTATATCCTGAGGGGTGCCATATCGGTTGTGCCATTTATACGTACCCCGCTGTTGGCCAAGATCTAATCCCTACACACACCCTCCTATTTTCTTTGCGCTGGTTGGGGTTGGCCGCATTTTCTGTCAGATTCACAGTCGATGTCGGCTTCTTCACACGAAATCGGTTCTCGTCACCTCGCCACGCGAAATCTGGTCGGATGTCCTCTGGTGTTGTGCGATGAGAGAGGAGCGGATGGCCGCGATCGACCCTTGCCGGCAAAATGCATCAATCCTGCCACTTAGCGTGCCAATCTACTGTCGAGCGGTTTTCGAGGGACTGTTCGGGGCGTTCCTGTTTGGGAGCACATCCACCAGATTGGAAATTGTTCCAGCTACATTTTCATGTTCATATCTGAATTTTCCATAATCCCTTTATTTCGCACCATGCCACATGAAATTAATTCAATTATAAGCACCCCCCAAATTTTGACTATAATCCCTAAACGCACCTAGTGGCGTATATCTGGGGGAATACGGTATTGTTCCCTCGTTACTCAATCCTTCGACACACGCTCTTTGCGCTTCATTACACCTGATCTAAGTTCCTGATGTTACGAAAGATACTCGATGTTGTCACAGTGCTGACTGACACCTCCCTCCCATCACAATTTCATTGTCGTCATTGGCAGTCAGTGAGCGTCGCCTGTGCTGTTGGCAGCTTTTCCATTCCCTTCTCATTTCACAGCCTTCCTTCCCGCTGATATCGCTGGTTGCTAGTCCGTGTTCTGGTACTAGTGCTGGAGTACCAGTTTCCGTGTAGCCTAAATCCCAGGGATTTGAGCTGATCTTGTCAACCCAAATGTAACTACGCCAGTAGCGTAACGTACTTCGTTCTGCTGCCATGATTCGCCGTGGCGAACCGGAGTAGGGGGGGACGGAGATCGTTGCCGTTGTTTGAAGCCGAATTTTAAACTCTTGTGCCTGACATCGTTGCTCTGTAGATCGACAGAACCGCAGTTCCTTCGCGAAATACGGGTTACGTACGTTACCATCACCTGCTGGGAGAGCAGGCCCGCCTAAAGGAAACTCTTCACCTGTCTGACAATTTTCCCGTATATGAAATTTCTCTCAGCTTCTCTTTTGTTCGAAGCCAACGGTGCTTGTTAAGCCCACAGCTGCTTAGCTTGCTGACATGGTCTAGATAGCTACTGCCGACGTGTCGCCCGCTAGTTCCCTCCATGTCAGCAGCCAGCCGTCGCCGGAAGAGCATCAATGCTCTGGCGTCCCCCACTCGCGTGTCGACACGTCGGACATCACGGGCAGTGATTGACTTGGCACGTGATGACGTGGAGGAGAGGGAACGGAGTCAGGAGAGAGAGGAGAAAGAGGGTAACCAGGAGCAAGTTGGTAACAAGGAGAAAGAGGGTAACCAGGAGCAAGTTGGTAACAAGGAGAAAGAGGGTAACCAGGAGCAAGTTGGTAACAAGGAGAAAGAGGGTAACCAGGAGCAAGTTGGTAACAAGGAGAAAGAGGGTAACAAGGAGAGAGAGGGTAACAAAGAGAGGGAAGCGAGAGGTACGGGGGGAATTGATGGAAGCGAGGGAAGGAGCCCTTACAGGAGAGGGCGTGGAGAGAGAAGGGGAAGAGGAAGAGGGTCAGCGCGAGGCGAGAGAAGGGGCGAGGAGACAAGTCAGCAGCTGGCACGCCTTAACGGAGGTGTCCTTACTTCGGACGTGATTGTATTGAAGGATGGGAGTGAGGACGTTTCAGGCAATGATGTGACTGTATTGAAGGGCGCGGCTGACGACGGTGTGACTAATGTGAGAGAGGATGCTGCTGATGATTCCAGGATTGACCTTGCCTCTCAACCGGAAGGAACCACGGGCCATACGGCACGAGGAGATGATGACGTGGCAACTGGAGATACTGCGAAGCCACTGTCAGCAGACAGAAACTTGGATGACGTGGCAGCAAAGAATACACCTGAACCGACTCCTATGGCGGAGGATGACAACGGTGTTGGCGATCAGGAGAGGTCGCAGGTGACGGGTGGGGAGGAGGGAAGAGTGGCAGAGGGAGGCGTGGCAGCAGAGAATGCGCTTGAGTCGACTCCTAGAACCGAGGTCCACAGAGGTGCTCGTGGTCTAGAGACCTCCGGGGACTATGGTGGCGAGGTGGCAGAGGGAGGCGAGGAAGGGGGAGGCGTGGCCGAGTCAAGACAGGCGGGTGCTGTTGAGGGCTGCTGGGAACGAGGGGTGGGAGACATAGTTGACCCGCTGACTGCCTCCCAGCCTGCTTTCGATTCGACTCAAGAGGGAGGCGTGGCAGAGGGAGGCGTGGCAGAGTCAAGACAGGCGGGTGCTGTTGAGGGCTGTCAGGAAAGGGAGGTGGGAGGCATAGCTGACCCGTTGACTGCTTCCCAGCATGCTGCTCCGTGTGCTGATGTTCCCATGGAGGACGCCTGGAGTCTGCTGCCGATGGAGGGTCCGGGTGAGGGTGCTGCAGTAGTGGGGCGAAGCAAGGTTGCAGTGGTAGCAGGAGCAAGTGGTTATCCCAAGAGAGAGGTGGGGTTGGACGAAGGGGATGACGAAGGGCGGGACGGTGAATCGAGAGAAGGTGGCTGTAGGGTTGGCGAAGATGCTTGTGTGGAGGATGCTCGGGAGAGGGATTGCGAGGTGTTGGATGAGGTGAAGAGGGGCGGTGGTGGGGAGGGGAGGGTGGTAGTAAGGGTGGTGGTAGTAAATGTGGTGCTGGTCAGGGTGGTGGTGAAAAGGAGAGCGGTGAAAAGGAGGGGGGTGAAGAGGAGGGGATAAAAAGGAGGGTGATGAAAAGGAGGGTGATGAAAAGGAGGGTGGTGGAAAGGAGGGTGGTGAAAAGGAGGGTGGAGGAAGCGACGGTGCTCTTATTGAGTTGCCGAGCCAGCAGCATGATCTGGTGTCGTCCCATGGGGGCCAGCATGCGGTGCATCAGGCATGCTCCTCCCAGCCGTTTCCCTTCACCAGAGACCAGTGCCAGCAGTGGCTAGACAGGTGAGCGTGCTACAGTCTCACTTGAGTTGCCGAGCCAGCGGCACGATCTGGTGCCATCCCTTGAGGGCGAGCGCGCCGTGCATCCATCAGCCACACTCATCCCAGCCGTTCCCCTTCACCTGGGACCAGTGCCGGCGCTGGCTAGACATGTGAGTGTTCTACTATTGCTGCGTGATGTATCGAAGGCCGGCTCTGCAAGTACTAGAAAACCAAATGTTCCTGGCGTGCCAACACCTATGCTTTGTTTGTTAGGCGCCTAAAAGATCCGTGTTCGACCCCCATAATTTCTCTCCCTTCCTTCGTGTCTCCCTTTCACCCTCCCCCCACCTCCCGCCCCCCCCATCCGTGGCAGGGTTGAAGGGCGCACATTCACATATCCCACCAGGTATGGTGCTGTATGGTGCTGTGACACAGCAGCTGTGTGTGTGGTGCTGTGTGATGTGGTGTGTAGTAGCGTGGGATTGTATGGTACAGTCTGGTGTGGTATGGTGCCTGTTGTTTGCATGAGGTCAATCGCATACTCAAGCATGCGTGGTACCGAAATAACGTTCAGTTCTGTTGTCCTAACCTGCTGGCTTGATGGACGGACACAACGCAATTCCGCCAGAGCCCGCTCGTTTTTGTTGTTCTAACCTAACTTTCACACTAGATGAGAATGCCCCTCCCTTCCCGTCCCTCCCCTTCCCGCACTGGACTATTCATGCAGGCAGCAGCTGGGGGCAGTGGAAGTGAAGGCAGCGGATTCGGGGGCATGCATAAGTTTCCTCTTCCCTCAATCACCACCTCACCTCCTCCCCCACCCCTCCCCTCCCCCCACCCCTCTCCCCACCCCTCTCCCCACCCCTCTCCCCACCCCTCCCCTCCCCTCCCCTCCCCCTCCCCCTTACTCGGCTATCCGTGCAGGCAGCAGCTGGGAGCAGTGGAGGTGAAGGCAGCGGATCTGCAGCGGTTGCTGCCGGGGGAGTGTTTGAACGACACTGTCATCGACTTCTATGTCAAGTAGGTGTGTCTCTGAGGTGAGACTGCATGAGTAGGTGTGTCTCTGAGGTGAGACTGCATGAGTAGGTGTGTCTCTGAGGTGAGACTGCATGAGTAGGTGTGTCTCTGAGGTGAGACTGCATGAGTAGGTGTGTCTCTGAGGTGAGACTGCATGAGTAGGTGTGTCTCTGAGGTGAGACTGCATGAGTAGGTGTGTCTCTGAGGTGAGACTGCATGAGTAGGTGTGTCTCTGAGGTGAGACTGCATGAGTAGGTGTGTCTCTGAGGTGAGACTGCATGAGTAGGTGTGTCTCTGAGGTGAGACTGCATGAGTAGGTGTGTCTCTGAGGTGAGACTGCATGAGTAGGTGTGTCTCTGAGGTGAGACTGCATGAGTAGGTGTGTCTCTGAGGTGAGACTGCATGAGTAGGTGTGTCTCTGAGGTGAGGTGAGACTGCATGAGTAGGTGTGTCTCTGAGGTGAGACTGCATGAGTAGGTGTGTCTCTGAGGTGAGACTGCATGAGTAGGTGTGTCTCTGAGGTGAGACTGCATGAGTAGGTGTGTCTCTGAGGTGAGACTGCATGAGTAGGTGTGTCTCTGAGGTGAGACTGCATGAGTAGGTGTGTCTCTGAGGTGAGACTGCATGAGTAGGTGTGTCTCTGAGGTGAGACTGCATGAGTAGGTGTGTCTCTGAGGTGAGACTGCATGAGTAGGTGTGTCTCTGAGGTGAGACTGCATGAGTAGGTGTGTCTCTGAGGTGAGACTGCATGAGTAGGTGTGTCTCTGAGGTGAGACTGCATGAGTAGGTGTGTCTCTGAGGTGAGACTGCATGAGTAGGTGTGTCTCTGAGGTGAGACTGCATGAGTAGGTGTGTCTCTGAGGTGAGACTGCATGAGTAGGTGTGTCTCTGAGGTGAGACTGCATGAGTAGGTGTGTCTCTGAGGTGAGACTGCATGAGTAGGTGTGTCTCTGAGGTGAGACTGCATGAGTAGGTGTGTCTCTGAGGTGAGACTGCATGAGTAGGTGTGTCTCTGAGGTGAGACTGCATGAGTAGGTGTGTCTCTGAGGTGAGACTGCATGAGTAGGTGTGTCTCTGAGGTGAGACTGCATGAGTAGGTGTGTCTCTGAGGTGAGACTGCATGAGTAGGTGTGTCTCTGAGGTGAGACTGCATGAGTAGGTGTGTCTCTGAGGTGAGACTGCATGAGTAGGTGTGTCTCTGAGGTGAGACTGCATGAGTAGGTGTGTCTCTGAGGTGAGACTGCATGAGTAGGTGTGTCTCTGAGGTGAGACTGCATGAGTAGGTGTGTCTCTGAGGTGAGACTGCATGAGTAGGTGTGTCTCTGAGGTGAGACTGCATGAGTAGGTGTGTCTCTGAGGTGAGACTGCATGAGTAGGTGTGTCTCTGAGGTGAGACTGCATGAGTAGGTGTGTCTCTGAGGTGAGACTGCATGAGTAGGTGTGTCTCTGAGGTGAGACTGCATGAGTAGGTGTGTCTCTGAGGTGAGACTGCATGAGTAGGTGTGTCTCTGAGGTGAGACTGCATGAGTAGGTGTGTCTCTGAGGTGAGACTGCATGAGTAGGTGTGTCTCTGAGGTGAGACTGCATGAGTAGGTGTGTCTCTGAGGTGAGACTGCATGAGTAGGTGTGTCTCTGAGGTGAGACTGCATGAGTAGGTGTGTCTCTGAGGTGAGACTGCATGAGTAGGTGTGTCTCTGAGGTGAGACTGCATGAGTAGGTGTGTCTCTGAGGTGAGACTGCATGAGTAGGTGTGTCTCTGAGGTGAGACTGCATGAGTAGGTGTGTCTCTGAGGTGAGACTGCATGAGTAGGTGTGTCTCTGAGGTGAGACTGCATGAGTAGGTGTGTCTCTGAGGTGGAGGTAGGTGTGTCTGAGGTGAGACTGCATGAGTAGGTGTGTCTCTGAGGTGAGACTGCATGAGTAGGTGTGTCTCTGAGGTGAGACTGCATGAGTAGGTGTGTCTCTGAGGTGAGACTGCATGAGTAGGTGTGTCTCTGAGGTGAGACTGCATGAGTAGGTGTGTCTCTGAGGTGAGACTGCATGAGTAGGTGTGTCTCTGAGGTGAGACTGCATGAGTAGGTGTGTCTCTGAGGTGAGACTGCATGAGTAGGTGTGTCTCTGAGGTGAGACTGCATGAGTAGGTGTGTCTCTGAGGTGAGACTGCATGAGTAGGTGTGTCTCTGAGGTGAGACTGCATGAGTAGGTGTGTCTCTGAGGTGAGACTGCATGAGTAGGTGTGTCTCTGAGGTGAGACTGCATGAGTAGGTGTGTCTCTGAGGTGAGACTGCATGAGTAGGTGTGTCAATGTCGGTCTCATGCACGCAGCTGTGTCCATCCTAGCCTCATGCATTGTCATGTGAGTTGAGCCCATGGCCACGCGGTCAATTGTCTTTAAGTCAACATGAAATACACTTGAGACTCGGTTCGTCCGGATCCTTTGTGTTACGTGTCGAATCAGTTCTGACAATCTTGAAGCCGATTCCCCTATCACGTTGTATCACGCTTCTTTGATTCTATGTGCCTTCCGACTCCCTTTCTGCAAGCTAGTGGCGTGTCCAGGTTCGTTGAACAGCCAACGGTGCAGGAGACTGTTTGATCAGCTGAAATGCTCCGTGCCTGGTCCTCTGAACCCATGCGCGCTTGTCCAGGTTCATTGAACAGACGGTGCTGCAGGGGCCGCAGCGGTCGCGGTTCCACTTCTTCAGCACCTTCTTCTCCACCTCGCTCTTCAAGGCGCACGAGCGCTTCGTGAGTGCCCCCCCCCCCCCCCCCCCCCCGTGCTCTGCTGTGCTCTGGTGCTGTGCTATTCCAATTGCTGCTCGTTGAGTCTTCAGCACCATTTTCTCCACCTCGCTCTTCAAGGCGCACGAGCGCTTCGTGAGTGCTTGCCCTCCTGTGCTGTTCTGTGCTGCTCTGTACTAATTGCTGTGCGCTGATTGCTCTGTGCTAATTGCTGTGCGCTGATTGCTCTGTGCTAATTGCTGTGCGCTGATTGCTCTGTGCTAATTGCTGTGCGCTGATTGCTCTGTGCTAATTGCTGTGCGCTGATTGCTCTGTGCTAATTGCTGTGCTCTGATTGCTCTGTGCTAATTGCTGTGCTCTGATTGCTCTGTGCTGATTGCTGTGCGCTGATTGCTCTGTGCTGCAACCAGTGCTGCGCGCTGTGCACCCCAATCCTCGTTCATCTCCTCCTTCCTTCCCCGCCCTCCCCCCGCCCTGTCCCCGCCCTCCCCTTCCCCCCCTTCCTCTCTCCGCCCTCCCCTCCCCCCCCTCTCCTCTCCCCGCCCTTCCCCCCCCTCTTTCCCTTTGTTGACTCCAGAAAGTGAGTCAGGACCCCCAAGAGCTGACACGGCTCACCAGGTGGACTCGAGGCACGGACATTTTCTCCAAGGACTTCATCGTCATCCCCTTCCATGAAGCGTACGGCTCTCTCTGTTCCTGCTGTTGCTGCTGCCGCTGCCGTTGCTGCTCCTGCTGCTCCTGGTGCTCCTGTTGTTGTTGCTGCTGTTGTTTTGAGACGTCTCAAATCAAAACACGATTATAATTACGCGGATATTGTCTCCACATCGCCATCCCCATCTACGAAGAGTATGCACTCCGCTCCCCCTTGCAGCTCTTTCGCAGCCCTGTTCTTTCCATCACCCTCCGTCACCCCTTCCAACCGATATTGACTTTTGAGTCGACTCAAAAATCATCTTGTTCTATCCGTCACCCTCCGTCACCCCTTCCAACCGATATGTTCTCTCCAGGGACTTCATCGTTACCCCCTTCCATGAAGAGGACAGGGCAGCAGGGCTCTTCGTGCTTGCTGCTGTTGCTGCTCGAGGCCCTGTCCCATTCTGTCCACCTCTTCCCCTCGATTCCCCTCGATTCCCCTCGATTCCCCTTCGAGCTCCTCTGAATATGCAGGTTCCGCAGCCACTGGAGTCTGGCCATCGTCTGCTTCCTCAGTAAGGACGTGAGGAGGACGCCCCACACATATGCCCATGTCCCTCTTCCCTCTCGTTCCCCCCCATTCCCCCCATCCCCCCCCCTAACCCCCCCCCCCCAATCTCTCCCAATCCCTCCCAATCCCTCCTTGCAGGTTCCGCAGCCACTGGAGTCTGGCCATCGTCTGCTTCCTCAGTAAGGACGTGCGGAAGACTTCTCGCAAGGCGTCAGGAGAAAACAGCAAGGGCTCAGGAGGAAGCAACAAAAAGGCAGGAGAAAACAGCAAGTCGTCAGGGGGACCAGGAGAAGGCAGCAGAGAAACACGCGGAGCAGCCAAGCTACGGGAAGAGGGCAAGGGGTTAAATGGGGCCAGGAGGGGCAAGGGTGGAAGCATGAGGGGGAAGCTGGACCTGGAGGATAGAAGGGGGAGAGTGGAGACCTTTCAGGACATTCCGAAAGAAAAGAGGGGGGATATGAAAGGAAACGGGGGGGTTGTGCATGGCAGCAATGGGAGAGCGCAGAATGGTGGGAGGGCTCTGTTGCGTGGTAGAGAATTCTCCACTTTAAAAAGCAGCCGATTATTATCCCCTTTAAAAGGTGGTAGAGGGATGAAAGCCGCGGCAGGTGGGCGGACACCCAAAAGGGAAGCTGAGATTCACGGGTTGGAGGGGAATAGAGGGGGAAAGGTGCGAGTGAGGAGAGCTGCTGACGTGGCAGAAGTTGCTGACGTGGCCGCGGAGGAAAATGAGGCCTGCGGAGGGGGGACTTGGAAGGGTCGAAGGAGCGAAAGAAGAGTGATGAGGCTTGCTGACGTGGCAGAAGTTCCAGGGAGGGTAGAGGAAGAGGCAGGGGTGGTGGATGTAGGGGAGGATGAAGATGAGGGGGGGGAGGAAGAGCAAGAGGAATCGGAAGAGGAGGAAAAGGGTGAGGAGGAAGGGGAGGGGGAGGAAAACGGGGAGGGCGGATGTGGAAGAGGGGAGGTTGGGGAGGTGGGGTCTGGGGAGGAGCGGAGAGGGGAGATGGCGAAGAAGAAGAGAGTGAGGCTTGCGGATTTAGACCAAGTCACCACCCAGTCTGGTGAAACGGAGCATGGTGCTGGCAGGGTACGTGCCGGCAGGTCTCACGTGAAGCGGAGGAGAGTGGATGGGCTCGATGGTTCTGGAGACAATGCGGTGGGCAGCATGGATGCTATGGGAAGCATATGCAGCATGGGTAACATAGGCAGCATAGGCACCATGGCATGGGGTGTGAGGAAGCAGGTGCAATCCCGCAGCAGGGCTCGGGCCAAGGTGGCGGAATGGGAGCGAGGTGCAAGAGAGGGGGCCTCTGCTGAAGCCAGGGAAGACGAGGGCTGTGCTGCGGGTGTGAAGGAGGAGGAAAGGAGGGGAGACGAGGGGTCTGCTGCGGGCGTGGAGGAGGACAGGAGGGGAGACGAGGGTTCTGCTGCGGGCGTGAAGGAGGAGGACAGGAGGGGAGACGAGGGGTCTGCTGCGGGCGTGAAGGAGGAGGACAGGAGGGGAGACGAGGGGTCTGCTGCGGGCGTGAAGGAGGAGGACAGGAGGGGAGACGAGGGGTCTGCTGCGGGCGTGAAGGAGGAGGACAGGAGGAGAGACGAGGGGTCTGCTGCGGGTGTGAAGGAGGAGGAAAGGAGGGGAGACGAGGGGTCTGCTGCGGGCGTGAAGGAGGAGGACAGGAGGGGAGACGAGGGGTCTGCTGCGGGTGTGAAGGAGGAGGAAAGGAGGGGAGACGAGGGGTCTGCTGCGGGTGTGAAGGAGGAGGAAAGGAGGGGAGACGAGGGGTCCGCTGCGGGTGTGAAGGAGGAGGAAAGGGGGGGAGACGAGGGGTCTGCTGCGGGTGTGAAGGAGGAGGAAAGGAGGGGAGACGAGGGGTCTGCTGCGGGTGTGAAGAAGGAGGAGGAGCTAGCTGCGAAGAGGGGCGGAGACACAGGAGGTGGAATTCGAGAGGCCACTCGAGTGGCTGCTGAAGAGGCCACTGAAGAGGCTACTGAAGAGGCTATTAAAGAGGCTACTGAAGAGGCTACTAAAGAGGATACTGAGGAGGCTACTAAAGAGGCTACTAAAGAGGATACTGAGGAGGCTATCACTGAAGAGGCTACTAAAGAGGCTACTAAAGAGGATACTGAGGAGGCTATCACTGAAGAGGCTACTAAAGAGGCTACTAAAGAGGATACTGAGGAGGCTATTAAAGAGGCTATTGACGAGGCTACTAAAGAGGGTGCTAAAGAGGCTACTAAAGAGGCTACTGAAGGAGCACGTCGAGATGCCACTGAGGAGGCCACTCGAGAGTCTCCTGTAGAGAAAGAAGGTGATACACGGGAAGAGGGAGTAACTAAGGGGGGGGGTGTTACAAGGGAGGAGGTTATTACAAGGGAAGAGGGTGGTACGATGGTGGGAGGTGATACAAGGGAGGGAGGTGATATAAGGAAAGAAAGTGGCGCGCCAACAGGAGCTGCGGATGATGCACAAATCACAAACAGGGCGATGGCTGGAGAGAAGACGGGAGCTGCTGGCATGGGGCAAAAGGAGAATGGGGAGGCAGCGATTGTGGCATATGGGGTGAGGCTGGAAGGGGCGATGGAGGAGGGAGTGGAGCATGAGGAGGAGGTAAGAGAGGATGAGGTGCTTGAGGAAGGGGAAGGGGTTGACGAGGAAGGTTTAGAATGGGAAGGGGTAAGGAAGGCCGGCGTGAAAGAGGAAGGAGTGAGAGAGGAAGGAGTGAGTGAGGAAGGAGTGAGTGAGGAAGGAGTGAGTGAGGAAGGAGTGAGTGAGGAAGGGGTGAATGAAGTAGGAGTGAAAGAGGGAGAGGAGAAAGGGAAAGGGGTGAACGAGGAAGGGGTGAAGGAGGAAGGGGCGAAAGGGGAAGGGGTGAAAGAGGAAGAGGAGGAAGGAGTGAACAGGGAAGAGGAGAGAGAGGGTGGGGTGAAAGAGGAAGGGGAGGAAGGCGTGAAGGAGGAGGGGTGGACGGAAGAGTGTGAGGAGGGAAAACTTATGGAGTGCGGGGGGAAAGAGGAGAGTGGGGGGAAAGAGGAGAGTGGGGGGAAAGGGGAGTGTGAGGTGAACGAGGAGAGAGAGGTGAAGGAGGAGGAAGCAAGGAAGGGGAAGGTGGAGGAGGAGACGAGGGAGGGGGAGGTGGAGGAAGGGCGGCGAGATGTAAGGATGGATGTGCCAATTGCTGTTGTAGCTCCTGCACCAGAATCACCTGCACCAGAATCACCTGCATCAGAACCACCTGCACCAGAACCACCTGCACCAGAATCACCTGCATCAGAACCACCTGCACCAGAACCACCTGCATCAGAACCACTTGCACCAGAACCACATGCACCAGAATCACCTGCGCCAGAAGCACCTCCACCAGAACCACCTGCGCCAGAATCACCTGCATCAGAACCACCTGCACCAGAATCACCTGCAACAGAACCACCTGCACCAAAATCACCTGCATCAGAACCACCTGCACCAGAACCACCTGCACCAAAACCACCTGCACCAGAATCACCTGCACCAGAATCGCCTGCACCAGAATCACCTGCAACAGAACCACCTGCGCCAGAATCATCTGCACCAGAAGCACCTGCACCAGAAGCACCTGCACCAGAATCACCTGCAGCAGAATCACCTGCACCAGAAGCACCTGCACCAGAATCGCCTGCACCAGAATCACCTGCACCAGAACCACCTGCGCCAGAATCACCTGCACCAGAAGCACCTGGTCGCGGAATGTCTGCTCTGCAGCTGCTGATGGGGGCACCACCGGTAGAGCCACAGCCCCTGGGCAAGGCAGGCGCGGGCCTCTGTGTCAGTGCTGCTGAGGGGACTCGTGAGGGGGTCGCTTCTGAGTCAACTCAAAAGGCACCAGCCGTAGAGCCCCAGTCCCTGGGCAATGCAGGTGCAGGTCTCCATGTCAGTGCTGCTGAGGGGATTTGTGAGGGGGTCTGTGCTGCTGCTGCTGTTTCTGCTGAGGGGACTCGTGGGGGGGTCTGCGTTGATGCTGCTGCTGCTGCTGCTGCTGAGGGGACCCGTGGGGGGGACTGCGTTTATGCTGCTGCTGAGGGGACCCGTGGGGGGTTCTGTGAGAAGCGGGAAGGGGAGAGAAGCGGGGAGCATGGGAAGCGGATGGCATCTGAATCGACTCAAGAGTTGCGTGGAAAGGCAGGGAGCAGTGAGGAGGGGAGGGGTCAGGGCGAGGTGAGGGAGGGGGAGATGGGGAAGGGTGGGGAAAACGGGACGGGAAGCAAGGAGGGGCAGGATGGTGAAGGGGAGCGAGATGGGGGATCTGTGGAAGAGAGAGGAGGCATGGAGGGGCGGGTTGAGCTGGGGGAGGCGGTATCTGATAGTAGCGAGGATGATGGGGCTGCTTATGAAGGGTATGAGGAGGGCGATGAGGGGAAGCATGAGGGGGAAGGGGTAGAGGAGGTGAGAGAGGAAGATGGAGGAGTGAATGGAGTGGGCCGGGGAGAAGCGGCGGAGGAGGAAGAAGAGGAGGAGGGGGAAAAAGAGGAGGAGGGGGAAGAAGAGGAGGGGGGGGAAGAAGAAGAGGAGGGGGAAGAAGAAGAGGAGGGGGAAGAAGAGGAGGAGGGAGAGGAAGAGGAGGGCGAGGAAGAGATTGAAGGAATGCATGAGGAGGACAATGAGGAGGACAATGAGGAGGACAATGAGGACAATGAGGAGGACAATGAGAAGGAGGCGGATGGTTATGGTGGTGCGAAGGCGAGGCAAGCCGGCAGCTGGAAACTTGGATTGGACGATGCTGATGGTGCTAAGTATGCTGGTGATGGTGGTGGTGGTGATGCTGATGATGCTGATACTGGGGATGATGAGGCTGATGACGACGACGATGATGATGATGATGACGATGATGATGATGATGTGAAGGAGATAGTGTTTAGAACCTTGCGGGGAGACGGCGGCAGGGGAGGGCGCAGGGGCCATTCGGGAACGGCTGCGCAGGCGAGAGGGGGACGGGCAAGAGGCAGAGGACTGAGCAGAAAAGCCATAAGAGGGCAAGGGCAGAGGGGAGCGGGTAGAGGAAGGCGGGTTCAGGTGGGGGGCAGAGGAGGAGGGGGGAGGCAGCAGAGGGGCGCAAAGGGAAGGTTCAGCAGGAAAGCATTGGAGAATGGGGAAGAGGAGGAGGAGGAAGAGGAGGGGGAGGGGGGCAGTGGTGGGGAGGATGTGTTGGAGCTGGTGACGGGGCCGAATGGTGGCAGGGAGGCGACCATTCTGTACCTGGACTCGCTGCCCGACAGCTCCAAGTCACATGCCATCTACAGCGCCATCAAGTTGTGAGTCACACGCCATCTACAGCGCCATCAAGTTGTGAGTCACACGCCATCTACAGTGCCATCAAGTTGTGAGTCAGACGCCATCTACAGCGCCATCAAGTTGTGAGTCACACGCCACCTACAGCGCCATCAAGTTGTGAGTCACACGCCATCTACAGTGCCATCAAATTGTGAGTCACACGCCATATACAGCGCCATCAAGTTGTGAGTCACATGCCATCTACAGCGCCATCAAGTTGTGAGTTGGACTGTTGCAATGGTGGGGAAGGGAGTGCAGGGGAGCAGGGAGGCGACGTACCTGGACAGTGGACTCGCTGCCTGACAGCTCCAAGTCACATGCCATCTACAGCGCCATCAAGTTGTGAGTTGGACTGTTGCAATGGTGGGGAAGGGAGTGCAGGGGAGCAGGGAGGCGACGTACCTGGACAGTGGACTCGCTGCCTGACAGCTCCAAGTCACATGCCATCTACAGCGCCCTCAAGTTGTGAGTTTGATAGAGTCTTTAGGTGCTTCCCATGTAGCCCTAACCAGGAACAGCCAGCTCTGTACCTGGACTCGCTGCCCGACAGCTCCAAGTCACACGCCCTCAAGTTGTGAGTGTGAAATTTAATGTTGACCTAAGTTCTACAGCTTTAAACGGTTTTTATACATGTACATATGTATACGTAAATAATTTCCCTCCACGTGTGAGTTTCTCTATCTTCTCATTTTTCCACTCTTGATCCTCAACTCAATACCTTCCGTTTTTGTTGTCCTGCGCCTCTCTCCCCCAGCTATCTGCAGGCCGAGTGGATGAAGAGGAGCAGGGAGCCGTTGGATCCCAAGAAGCCGCTGCAATCTGGGCCGTTCAGCAAAGTGCGGGGGAAGAAAGTCAAGGTAAGCCCTCCTGATTTCTGTGAGAGGCTCAATGGGTAGAAAGTCAAGGTAGAAAGTCAAGGTAGAAAGTCAAGGTAGAAAGTCAAGGTAGAAAGTCAAGGTAGAAAGTCAAGTGTATGCAATGCCTAATGCCCCTGGATTGAACAGACACCCCTTGCCATGCCATATGCCCCCTGTTCAGTCACAAACCCTCCGCTTGCCTTATGTAGTCTATTTTTGAGGCGCCCCAAACATCTGCCCCTGGATTGAACAGGCAGCACTTGCCGTGCCACTATCCACATGCCCCCTGTTAAATCGCAAAGCCTCCGCTTGCCGTATGCCATGCCCAATGCTTCTGTTCCATCCTGAGTGACCTGGTGCCAGCGCAGGACAACGACTATGACTGCGGCTGCTTCATCCTCAGCCGCATCCTGAAGTCTCATCGATCTCCCTTAGCACACCCTTTGATCCCTCTGCCCAATGCCCTCTGTGCTCCCAATACCACCTATCTCCACCTCAGGTGCCAGAGCAGGACAACGACTATGACTGCGGCTGCTTCATCCTCTGCTACATCCAGAAATTCGCTCAAATAGCCGCTGCCCTGCCGCGCTCTGCTGACGGTGTGGCAGACAAGGTGAGCGGTGGCTGTTTGGTAGGCTCTTAGTTGCACACAAGAGGAGAGGCTTCAGACTGAAGGAGTCGAATTTCGAGAGTCAAAAGTCACCATCAGCGCATGGAAGATGAAACCGCTCGCTGGCTTTTGAGTCAGCAAAAGTCACCATGAGCCCATCGCAGATTAAACTGCTCGCTGAATTTTGAGTCTGAATGAGTCAACTCAAAAGTCACCATGAGCTCATCGTAGATTAAACTGCTCGCTGAATTTTGAGTCTGAATGAGTCAACTCAAAAGTCACCATGAGCTCATCGTAGATTAAACTGCTCGCTGAATTTTGAGTCTGAATGAGTCAACTCAAAAGTCACCATGAGCTCATCGTAGATTAAACTGCTCGCTGAATTTTGAGTCTGAATGAGTCAACTCAAAAGTCACCATGAGCTCATCGTAGATTAAACTGCTCGCTGATTTTTGAGTCTGAATGAGTCAACTCAAAAGTCACCATGAGCTCATCGTAGATTAAACTGCTCGCTGAATTTTGAGTCTGAATGAGTCAACTCAAAAGTCACCAAGAGCTCATGGAAGATGAAACTGCTCGCTTTGCCACTGCTCTCTTGGGCTCAGCTGGTGGGGTTGTAGCCTCCAACCTTAGAGACTTCAGACTTGAGTTGGGTCAAGATGCAGGGTGCAGCAGCAGAATGCTTATTCAGCAGACAAAGGGGATATGGATTCCTGCATTCACATATTCCCATCCTCGCGCGCCCCTTGTCCATCCCCGCATTCGCCGCCAGCTGAGCAACTACTGGTTCCAGGCGTGTGAGGCGTCGTAACCAAGATGCTACTGCCTCAAGACCTCCCAGCGCCCCACCACAAACCCCACCACCCCAAACCCCCCCGCCCCCCCCTCTATCACCAGCTGAGCAACGACTGGTTCCAGGCGTGTGAGGCGTCGTCACTGCGCCGCCGGCTCTTCTCCATCGTCACTGAGATGCTGCTCCCTGAAGACCACCCACCAGCTGAACCAGTCACAATGCCCAACCTGTTTCCCCTCCCCTCCCCCCCTTCCTTCCCCTCCCCGCCCCTCTTCCTTCCCCTCCCCTCCCCCCCTTCCTTCCCCTCCCCTCCCCCCTTCCTTCCCCTCCCCCCCTTCCTCCCCCCCCCCTCCCCCATCCCTCCATGGCCAGCTGAGCAACGACTGGTTCCAGGCGTGTGAGGCTTCGTCACTGCGCCGCCGGCTCTTCTCCATCGTCACCGAGATGCTGCTGCCTGAAGACCACCCAACGCCCCATCCCATCTCCCCCCCTCCTCAACCCATCTCTCCACCTCAAACCATGTCCCCGCCTCAACCCATCTCCCTTCATCCATCCTCCTCTCCACCTCCCCTTGTCGCACCAGAAATACCCATGTCCCAACCCTCCAACGCACTTCTGCGTCCCCCCTCTCCTCCCCTCCTTTCTCCTCTTCCATCTCCTGCTGCCGCTGCTGCTGCTGCTGCTGCTGCCGCTGTTCCTTTTGATGCCACGACCGCCACAACAGCAGCAACTGGAGCAGCAGCAGTAACCCGAGCCAAAGTATCAACAGCAGCAGCAGCAGCAGCAGCAACAGGAGCAACGGAAACAGAGAAGGCAGCAGCAACAGCAGCAACAGGAAGGGCAGGAACAGAAGCAGGAACAGAAGCAGTAGCAGCAGCAAGAACCACACGTAGCAAGGCCAAGAGAGGGAGAGGCAGACCGCGGAAGCAAGTGAAGAATGAGGCGACACACCCGGCTGCTTCAGGTGCTGCTGCTGCTGCTCCAGGTGCTTGTGACACAGCTGCTGGAGTGGGTGAAGGCTCTACTGGTGCAGGCGATGCTGCTGGTGGTGATGCGAACAGCACGGCTCCTATACAGTCTACCCAAGAGGCAACTGATGTCAAGAATGACACCCAAGACGACACCCAAGCCGGCATTCGAGACGGCACCCAGAACGACAGCCGAGACAGCACAAGCAGAGGGAGTGGTGAAACGCTGACTGTGTTTGGCAAGGAGCCTTGGTCCGCATGGCCGTGGCCAGCGTCCGAGCTGTCTAGGTCTCTCGACACCTGCTCTATACAGCTCTGGCCAGTTGCAGAACTATCTAGATCTCTCGACACCTGCCCTGCACTGCCCTGGCCGGCTACAGCAGTGGAGAATGGTGGCCGCGATGCTCCTGGTGATGGGGATGGTGATGGTCGTGTTATTGCGTCTCCAGGTGTAGTAGGGGCGTTGGGATATGCAGGGAGAGCGCCTGTGCTGGTTGCTATCGTGTGGCAGGATGAGATGAGTCAACGTTCACATGAGATAGCTCTGAATTCCAATGAGATGGCTAACCATTCACTTGAGACCGGCACTGGTAGGGAGGTTGTGGCATGGCCGTTTGGCGAGGGGGGAACTGAGAGGGAAGCAGGCGAAGGGGTGGGGGGAGATGAGAGAGAAGGGGCGGTGAATGGGAAAGGGCGTGTGGGGCAGAAGCGGAAGCGAGTGAAAACAGCTGCTGGGTGGGGGGTGAGGAAGAGGGGCAGGAGGGGGGTGAAGGGGCAGGAGGGGGGGGAGGGGAAGAAGGGAGAGGAGGATGAGGAGGTGGAGGAGAAGAGGCAAGGGGGGGCGGAGGAGGGTAGGACAGAGGAGGATGGAAGGATGGATGTGCGCGTAGCAGGTAAGGAAGAGGGTGGGATGGGAGAGAGTGAAGGAGAGAGGAGGAAGAGGGGCAGGGAGATCGGTGCATTGAAGGAGAATGGAAGGGAGGAGAGGGGAAGATGGGTGGTGGTACGGCTTGGAGCATCTCAGGAGGTGATTCGAGTGAGGAAGGAGAGAGGGGAGGAGGAAGGCGAGGTGGAGGTTGGTGAGGCGAAGGATGAGGAAGCGGGGGTGGGAGGATTTGGGAGAGACGGGGAGGAGCGGTGGGGAATGGAGGTGGAGGGAAGTGACCTTGAGAAATCTCAAACACCAACTGTGGGCGATGACGACGCTCTTGACACAATGGGCTTGGAGGGTCGGGAGGAGGAGAGGAGAGGACAAAAAATGAAGAGCGAGGAGGAGAACGAAGGCGAGGATGAGAAGGGAGAGGAGGAGAAAGGAACTGAGGAGAAGGGAGAGGACAAGGGAGAGGAGAAGGGAGAGGAGGAGAAGGGAGAGTGTGAGAAGGATATGGTTGAAGGGGGCGAGGGGGAAGTTGGACTTGGGAACATGGGGAGACAGGGCAAGGATTACCTAGAGAAGCATCAGCACGAGGAGCAAGTGGAGGAGCAGCAAGTGGAGCAGCAAGTGGAGCAGCAACCGGGGCAGCAACCGGAGCAGCAACAGGAGCAGCAACTGGAGCAGCAAGGGGTGGAAGGAAGCAGAGGGCGGACCAAGAAATGGTTCCTGGAACGCAAAGCAGTGCTGGAGAGGTGGGAGGCAGCAGGGAGGGAAGAAACGGAAGCAGTCGGATCAGCAGGGGGCCTGGGAGCAGTCGAGCGAATAGCAGAGGATAGGTGGGCAGGAGGCATGGGGAGGGGACGGTTTGAAGCAGGCGGTGTTGCAGCAGTGGAGGTAGGGGCAGCAGCAGGGGCAGCAGCAGCCGGAGCAGCAACAGTGGCAACAGCAGCAGCAGCAGCAGCAGAGGATGGGTGGGCAGGAGGCATGAGGAGTGGAGGCATGGGGAGGGGACGGGTGGGAGCAGGGGATATTGCAGCAGAGGAGGTAGAGGCAGCAGCAGGGGCTGCAGTGGCAGCGTCAGCCGCAGCAGCAGTGGTGGCTTCTATGGCAGCATTTGTGCGACAGACGCTTGCAGCTGCTGCCCGTGCTGCTGCTGCTGCTGCTGCCGCCGCTGCTGCTGCTGCCGCTGCTGCTGCCGCTGTCAGTGATGCTGCTGGTCAGGAGGAGGGACGGGCAGGGTTAGAAGCAGCAGGTGCAGGCACAGAGGCAGCGATCCGAGAAACTGGCCCAGCCAAACAGGTATTGGTTCCAGAAGCTGACATGGCACCAGACGCAGCAGCAGCAGCAGCGACAACACCAGACGCAGGAGGCCCTGAGCCGGTTCCAGGGCTTGCTTCAGACCCCGAATGCAGTCTTGGCCGTCTTGTGCACTTTGGATTCACTCGAGCGGCAAAGGGGAAGCAGCAGCGGTGGGGGGCAGGGCCTGCGGAGCCTATGGGAAGAAAATGGCGGGGGGTGGGAAATGGCTCTGAAGTGCCACGGCGCATGGTGGGGTTTGGGGAGCTGGCGGCATGGAATGGGGTGTGGCGGGGAGTGAGAGAGGGGGAGTGGCAGGAGTGGGTTGAGGGATGGAGTGGGGGTGGAAGTTGCATGGCAGACGTGCCTGGAGCGAGTGAGCATAAGGAATTTCGGAGTCAGATTGGGTTGGACGGGGAGGGTGAGACAGCAGGAGGGGAGGGTCAGACGGCAGGAGGGGAGGGTGAGATGGCAGGAGGGGAGGGTGAGACGGCAGGAGGGGAGGGTCAGACGGCAGGAGGGGAGGGTCAGACGGCAGGAGGGGAGGGTCAGAGGGCAAGCGCGCCAGCATTGACCTTACAGAAGGGAGAACGAGAGGAGGAGGGAGAGGAAAAGGAGAGGAGGGAGGAGAGGGATGAGAGGGAGGAGAGAGAGGGGAGGGATGAGATCAGCGAGGGAAGTGAGGTGAAAGAGGGGAGTAAGGGAGGTGAGGGGAAGGAAACGAAGGGGAGGAAGGAGAAGAAGGCGTGGAGGGAGAAATCTGATGTGAAGAAAGAGGAGGGAGGTGGAGAGGGTGAAAGCGAACAGCATTGGACGGGTTGTGCGGGAAGGGAGGGTGTAAGGCCCGGTGCCCACGAAGGGGAATTAGATGATGGCGCTGTGGAGGAGGATGTGAAGGAGCAAGTGAAGGAGCAAGTGAAGGAGCAAGTGAAGGAGGAGGTGAAGGAGCAAGTGAGGGAGGAAGTGAAGGAGCAAGTGAAGGAGGATGTGAAGGAGGAAGTGAAGGAGGAAGTGGAGGAGGAAGTGAAGGAGCAAGTGAAGGAGGAGGTTATGGAGGGTCTCGAGATAAAGCGTATGATTGGTGATGAGATCGGGCATGGTGCGGAGGAAGGGGGACAAGAGGAAGAAAGCAGACAAGAGGAAGAAAGCAGACAAGAGGAAGAAAGCAGACAAGAGGAGGAAATCAAGATACAGGAAGACGAAGGGATGTGGGGGGAGGAAAGGAGGGATGGTAAGGAGGGGGGTGTGGATGAGAGAGGGGTTGACGAGGGGAAGGAGGAGAGTGAGGGGGAGGTAAAGGAGGAGAGTGAGGGGGAGGGGAAGGAGGAGAGTGAAGGGGAGGGGAAGGAGGAGAGTGAGGGGGAGGGGAAGGAGGAGAAGGGGGAGGGGAAGGAGGAGAGTGAAGGGGAGGGGAAGGAGGAGAGTGAGGGGGAGGGGAAGGAGGAGAGTGAGGGGGAGGGGAAGGAGGAGAGTGATGGGGAGGGGAAGGAGGAGAGTGAGGGGGAGGGGAAGGAGGAGAGTGAAGGGGAGGGGAAGGAGGAGAGTGAGGGGGAGGGGAAGGAGGAGAAGGGGAGGGGAAGGAGGAGAGTGATGGGGAGGGGAAGGAGGAGAGTGAGGGGGAGGGGAAGGAGAAGAGTGAAGGGGAGGGGAAGGAGGAGAGTGAAGGGGAGGGGAAGGAGGAGAGTGAGGGGGAGGGGAAGGAGGAGAAAGGGGAGGGGAAGGAGGAGAGTGATGGGGAGGGGAAGGAGGAGAGTGAGGGGGAGGGGAAGGAGGAGAGTGAGGGGGAGGGGAAGGAGGAGAGTGATGGGGAGGGGAAGGAGGAGAGTGAGGGGGAGGGGAAGGAGGAGAGTGAAGGGGAGGGGAAGGAGGAGAGTGAGGGGAGGGGAAGGAGGAGAGTGAAGGGGAGGGGAAGGAGGAGAGTGAGGGGGAGGGGAAGGAGGAGAGTGAGGGGGAGGGGAAGGAGGAGAGTGAAGGGGAGGGGAAGGAGGAGAGTGAGGGGGAGGGGAAGGAGGAGAAGGGGGAGGGGAAGGAGGAGAGTGATGGGGAGGGGAAGGAGGAGAGTGAGGGGGAGGGGAAGGAGAAGAGTGAAGGGGAGGGGAAGGAGGAGAGTGACTGGGAGGTAAAGGAGGAGAGTGAAGGGGAGGGGAAGGAGGAGAGTGAGGGGGAGGGGAAGGAGGAGAGTGAGGGGGAGGGGAAGGAGGAGAGTGATGGGGAGGGGAAGGAGGAGAGTGAGGGGGAGGGGAAGGAGAAGAGTGAAGGGGAGGGGAAGGAGGAGAGTGACTGGGAGGTAAAGGAGGAGAGTGAAGGGGAGGGGAAGGAGAAGAGTGAGGGGGAGGGGAAGGAGGAGAGTGAGGGGGAGGGGAAGGAGGAGAGTGAGGGGGAGGGGAAGGAGGAGAGTGAAGGGGAGGGGAAGGAAGAGGATGAGAGGGAAGCGGCAATGGAAGAGGAGGGTAGAGATACAGCTGGTGACAGGGACGGGGTGAGGGAGGCGAAGGACGTGGATGGGGGGCGAAACGGGGAGGAGGAGGAGGAGGAGGAGGAGGGGGGTAAAGAGGCCATGGGGGGAGGGAGAGGGGTGAAGGGGGAAGGAAGGGAGGTTGATGGGGGAGGGAAAGTGGAGGGGGAAGAGGGTGAACAAGAAGTACAGGAAGGGAGAGGGGACGTCTATATAGCAGCTGAGCCAGAGGGGGAAACGGTGGGGAGGAAGAGAAGAAGACTCGATCGAGTCGAACCTGACTTGAAGAAGTGCGTTACTCGCAGCCCTGAGAGTGATGCCTCTCCAGTCAAACCTGACACCTCTGCTGACAATGCAGGTACTAGTCCGAGTGACAGTAGGCTTGGTGAGAACAGGCTCGGCAGCAGCAGCCTCGGTGTTACCAGCAGCAGGCCTGTGCGAAGGGCTAGCCTTGGCAGATTCGGGTTCGGCCGAACCAGACTGGAAGAGGGGCTCAGGTTCGGCGAGGAGATCTCGCCGGTGCTGCTGCTTCACAGGCTTGAAAACCACCCAAAACGCCCCCGAAGCAAGCTGGCTCGGAAGTCCAGGTTCGGTAAAGGACCGCGCCAGACCTACGAGGAATCGGGTTCGGTTAGGAGGTTCGGCAGTGGTCGGGGGATGCGCAGGAGGAAAGGCAAGAGTAGTGTGCGGCAAGCTACTGATGGCAATCAGGAGTGTGATAATAAGGGAGAGGCTAGTAACAGTGGCGGGATTGACAGAGGGAAAGGCACAGATGTGGTAGATCTAGCTAGTGTGCCAGAGGCTGCGGAAATAGGAGAGAGAGCAGATGCAGGGGAGAGGGTGGAGGGGAGAGGCGAAAGAGCAGCCGGCAGTAGTCTTGATGTTTCCCCTCCCCTTCCTATTCCTCCTCCTCTTCATCTCTCCCCTCGACGTCCGCCTCCTCCCTCCCCTCGTTCACCCACTCGTGCGGCTGCTCCTACTGACGTCGTTCCATCCCTACACCCCCCACCATCCCCACACCCCCCACCATCCCCACACCCCCCACCATCCCCACACCCCCCACCATCCCCACACCCCCCACCATCCCCACACCCCCCACCATCCCCACACCCCCCACCATCCCCACACCCCCCACTATCCCCACACCCCCCACCATCCCCACATCCCACCCCATCCCCTGTTCTTGCTCCTCTTGCACCTCCTCCTCTCTCTCCTCCCCCTCCTGCTCTTCCTCCTCCTCCTCCTCCTCCTCCTCCTCCTCCTCCTCCTCCTCCTCCTCCTCCTCCTCCTCCTCCTCCTCCTCCTCCTCCTCCTCCTCCTCCTCCTCCTCCTCCTCCTCCTCCTCCTCCTCCTCCTCCTCCTCCTCCTCCTCCTCCTCCTCCTCCTCCTCCTCCTCCTCCTCCTCCTCTTCCTCGTGCTGCTCCTTCCCCACCCGCTCTACCAGCTGCTGCTCCAGTGGAAGATTGCATCAAGGTGATAACAGCGAAGGAAGAGCCTACTACTGTGACTGTAGAGCATGAACCTCACAGGACTGTGACTGTAAAGGATGATCCCCACCGCACTGGGACTCTTGGTGGTGAACCCACTATTGTGACTGTAAAGGATGAAGCTGTTGATATGGACTCAGCAGCTCCGCTGCCTGCCGCTCGTTGCCGGCCCCACGCCGGGCGGCGCACTGTGGCACATGGGTTCATCCTAGCTCGTCCTGCATTGCCTCTGGCCACAACCCTGCTGCAGCTTGGTGCTCCCTCAGCTGCTGCTACAGCTACCGCTACAGCTGCTGCTTCACCTGGTTCACTGTTTCGACCTGAAGTCTCACCTGGTGGTCGGATTCCACCTGAGAAGCAGTCAGGGAGTCAGGGGATTCCAACAGACGCAGCAGCTGAGGGAAGTGGTGAGAGATTGGCAGCAGGAGTTCCTGCCACATCAGCATCACTTGATTTGACCACACCTGCCACATCACCTAAGCTTATCCCCACTCCCACAACAAAAGTCCATGCAGTCAGTGCCACGTCAGCGGAACGTGTCATACCTTCCACATCAGCAGACCCTACCGCCAATGCCATGTCAGCAGAGCTAGTCGCTGCCTGCCTGGGAGCCAATCGCGTGCTGCGATCGCGTAAGGCAGCGGCAAAGACTTCACAAGGCGCGAAGAGGCCTCAAGGTGTGAAGCCACCACTTGGTGGCAAGAATGGCGAATGCGGAGGGAGGAGAATGGGCCATCGGGCATCTCCCCGGGCAGCTGACAAGGCCTCTCCTGTTCCTCCCAAAGTGCAAGATGAGACCCGAGTGGAAGGAGTAAACCTGAGAATCTGGCATTTATCCAGCACTAGGAAGTTGCTATCGGAGAGGTGGAAGGGGGAAGAGGGAGATGGGGATGGGGATGGGGATGGGCATGGGGATGGGGATGGGCATGGGCATGGGCATGGGAATGGGGATGGGGATAAGGATGAGGAAGAGGAGGAGGAGGAGGAAGAAACACTTGAGGAAAACCAAGAGGGTGGTGGGAGAGAAGAAGGGGTTGAAAGGGGTAGTGTGGAGAGGAGTGGGAGGGGGAGGGGGAGGGGGAGTGAGAGAGGGAGTGAGGAGAAGAGGGGGAGAGGGAGACTGGCTTTGAAGAGCAGACCGGGAAAGAGAAAGGTTGGGAAGCCTCGAGGTAGGGGGAGGCCCCCCAAGAGGAGACGGAAGGAGGAGGAAAGTTCGGAGGACGAGGACGAGGAGGAGGATAGCGAGGAGGAGAGTGAGGAGGAAGGTGGAAAGGAAGATGCAGAGGAGGAGGCAGGAGGGCAGGAGGGCATGAGAGGGGAGGAGCGAGTAAGAAGAGGGGGGAGACACGTGGCAGAGAAGGGCAGGGGTGCTAGTAATAACAAGGAGATTGTGGGTCGAAAACCCGGGGAAAAGGAGGGATTGGCGGAAGAGCAGGTATGGGGGGATGGGGGAGGAGGAGGGAAGCAGTACAGCAGGAGAAAGCATAGGAGGAGGTGAATGCAGGAGAGGAGAGAGGATGGGTGACAGGAAGTGAGCACATACAGGCAACTCAGGTAGGGGGCTTCCAACTCAGGTGGAGGGAGAGATAGGTGTAGGTTTTGTTGGAGTACCGTATTTACGCTTTCGAGTGCAACGCAGCAGCTGGTTCCTTACGGTGATGTGGCGACAGACGGCGTCTCAACTTCCCGTACCGTAACAGCGTCAGCGGTCAGGTCGGCCATCAGTAGACTGTAGAGGTTTGATTGAAACTTTGCCACTGCTGGCCTACAGCAAGTTCGCAATCTGGTTGTAACCTGTAGGATTTCTTACGGTGCTTTTATGCATTGCAGCTTCTTAATTCCCTAACACTATCAATGGCTTTCTGTAGTGGTTTGCTGGTGGGCCTCCAAACCAAACCAAAGCACCCATCCTGTGGTCTTCATAAAATCATATTGGCGGAATCTTAACAAAGCTGCACCACAACACGGTCCACTACCCATGGAAAGAAATGCTGCCAGCCAAAGGACAGGGCGTGACCGAGTATCATATCAGTACAGCACAGGAGATGCGCACAGCACAGACCACGGGCCACGGCGCAGCAGGGCGCTACAGTACCAAAGGGGACTCTGTGGAGCGAATGCTTCTAACGGGAGACGAATGCTGCTGGTTCTTAGGTCTCATAGCCACAGATCAAATGTACGGTAGGGATGTCTTCTACCAGTTCCATGAGGGCCTCCTGATCTGCTGTGGACAGAAAGCAAATGCGAATGGCATGCAGGGTTGACACGCAAGGCGATGTTACTTTAACAAGGATGCGGTGCAGGGGGGCCATACAAGGCGAGGGCGAGAACAGCATGTGCCTGATTGCTGCTGGTGAGTTAGCAGAGAAGCTTGCTTGTTGGGATAACGGGCTGGAGCCTGGAAATACGGTGGTGGATGCCAGAGCACAGAGCACAGAGCTGTTCGTCGATATACATGCTCGTTACTAGCCGGTCTCGCGTTACATACTCGTTACTGGCTGGTCTCGTTACTGGCTGCCGCTGACGGTGAGTTCACCCTTTTCCAGCGAGCTGTACAGCTCCTCCGTCTTGCGCTTCAAGTTGAGGTGATACATCTTCCACATCGCCCCGCCTGCAGCGAGCGGCGGGGGGGGGAAGAATGAGGATGCAATGCAAATGAGATTGTTAACGTTGATGTGATGTGAGCCTTCTTCCACATCGCCCCGCCTTAGAGAGAGAGAGGGGGGAGAGAAATGAGGATGCAATGCAAATGGGGGAGAGAGAAGGGGGGGGGGGGGGGGGGGATTGTTAACGTTGATATGACACATCTTCCACATCGACCCCCCTGCAAAAAACGGCGGAAACTAAATAAAGGAATGAGAATGCAAATGAGACCGTTAACGTTGATGTGAGTCGTCTTCCACATCGACCCGCCTGCAGCGAACCGGGGGAGAAGGATGAGGATGCAAATGAGACCGTTAACGTTGATACGACCGGTCTTCCAGAATGATACGCCTGACACGAAGCGAGTGTCATCCTACGAGTATCACACAAGAACTCAAAAAAATCCTCCTCAATCTCTCAAGGGTCGCGTTTCCATCCTTCAGCGAAGGTCACCTCACGAGCAGTGTACGAGCAAATACTGAAAACGGTTTTGAAACGCCTCTGAACTAGTAGTACATGCACAACTGCTAGAAGCCCGAGATATAGTGAAAGATGAGAACGCGACCATTGAGAGTTCCACGAGGAACGTCAGGAGAAGACAGGGTGGAGACGGTCGCGCAAAGAGCGGGCTTGATACGTTGACGGCGTCGAGAAGACTTCAGGAAAGCGTTAGAAGCGATGCTGATGGACGGACCTGCGACGCCGAGGCTAAGGCCGGCGGCTATTTCGAAGATAACGCTCGGGCCGCCCTTCTTGGCGACAGCCGCGCCGTGAGCAGCGATCTTGTGAGCAGCACCCATGTCGGCGAGGGAAGTGGCGAGATCTGGCGGGGTGGAGGTGCGTCGACGGGAAAGACGGCGGGACTCGCGGCGAGTGTGGTGATCGGAGGTAGGTGAACGTTGTGTTGTGACAATGGCGGGGGGGGGGGATGTGCTAAAGAGCAGCAGAGGAGTTCTCCAGGCCCGGAGTTTTCGAAGTGGTTGCGCCCCACACAACACCCGGCGCAGGGGGAGTTACTCGCCACAAGGGTCGCTTTCCGATCTGCGATATACGACGGTTCGCTTAGATTCCAGTACGGTTTAGTAAGGTGCTTCGAGTAATCGAGCTCTCCCGACAGGCGCAGGGTGCAACTTCAACCAACAGCAGAGGATGCCACGTGGGGGCTGGAGATTCTCGCGCGCACAGACCTTGTGCGGTCCTGCGCGGGCTCCCCTCCCCTCCCGTTGTGCAAAGCTGAGATTGTGGGGTGCGCCGCCGTGGGATTTCCGGGTTGCGTGAAATTGTGGCAGGGGGGAGGGGGAGCATGGGTGGTGGGGGCACGAAGCACCAATAGTTGGATCCAGCATGTGATCTAATGTGCGCATACACGACGGGATAGAGTTTCCACCATAAGAAAAAAAACCAATTTCCATGGCTTACAAATTGCAATCAATTTCCATGGTTTCCAATTTCCACCATTTGCTCACATATTTCTATGGCTTAGTGGTATAATGAATATTTTCACCAGAGATTAACACGACAATAAATGACCTGATTGCAAGCCTTAATATGCTTTATGTGTCCCATCCAGTGGCAACACAATGACTTCTGTTGGAAATGTCTCGACGACTTAAGTTGAGTAGTTGAACCCTTGCACTAGTATGTGAGAGCAAGTGATTAATTAAAAGAACAAGCATACAGCAATATATAGAAAGTAGGAAAGTAAAGCAGTTGTAGAATACAGTTGAAAGAGCGGTTATCGAGTCGCACAGCGACTCGATTGTCGCTTCGGTTACCATCCTTGCAGTTGTAACGGTCAGGGCGATGTGCTTGGTTCGGTTGGCGAAACCGTCTTTCTTCGCGATTTTGATCGCAGATTGGTTGTCGCAGAAGAGTGAGAAGACGGGCAGGGTTGCAATCTTTGCTTCCTCGAGTAACTCTCGCAGGTAAAGTCCTTCCTTGGTCGCAGTGCAGAGGGCGATATATTCTGCTTCAGCCGAAGATAGTGCGATTAGTTCCTGTTTGCTCGACTGCCATGAGATAGTCCCGATAGGCTCTAGTCGGTAGATGTAGCCCGTCCTTGAGCGTCGATTTTCCCTGTCTCCCGCGTGGTCGGCGTCGACGTATTCGAGTAGTTGTACGGACGATGCCGTTGCTTTACTGTAGGTAATTCCGGTCGTCGGAGTAGAGACGAAGTAGAGTAGTGCCCGATTTAGTTCCTCGGGGTCTTCTTGTTCCGGCTGCTTCAGATGCGTCGCCAGTTGGGGGAGGAGGTGAAAGGTGGAAAGAAGGGGCGGCTTGCAGAGAAGCTGTTGCTGTTGCGGCTGAAACACGCTCAGATGGTGTCGGCCTCGAATGCCGCTGTCGCATGTCAGGTGGTCAATGTCTCTCACTCTCAGATGGTGGCCGCCCCTCCCACCTCCCAACTGGTGACTACGTACCTCTTGCCTCAGGTGGGCTCTAGCTCACTGGAAGAGCTTGCTATTGCTATTGCCACCGCTGCCAGTGCTGGAGCTGATGCTACAGCTGCTGCTGATGCGGCTTCTCATGCTACAGCGGATGGGGCTCTTTGCCGCAGCCGAAAGAGGTCCAAGACATGGGATGGGCTCTTCTTTCCACCTACGCCGAGCTTCATGCTGAACAACAGGAGATGGACCTGTTTGAAGAAAGCCAACCAAGGAAACAGCAACCGTTAGTCTTCTACACTCAACGAAGAAACGACAACAACTACAACCGACGCGGCAAGCAACACCAACGCGACAACAGAGGACTCACCATTGTGCCGTCGTTTTGCCACAACTGTCAAACATCCGGACACTCCAAAGTCAACTGCACATGCCCCCGAGCTTACCGTCCAGTAGACCCACAAATCGCTTCCACTCAAGAAAGCCCGCCGAGGCGTTCCTCCACATCTGCACGAAGCACAACGAATATCATCAACTGCATGGTACACATCGACAATTGCGCACCCGAATCACCACCCACTTACGCTCCAGACGGAGAAGAACTGTCGCCGCCGCGCTCACAAGAACTTCAGGTCAACCCAACGTACGCTGCAGTCGCCAACGCCGAACCCACCGGGCGAAACACTTGGTTCTTGGACAGTTGTTGCGGCCAACATATGTGCTCTTCCGGGCGCTTCGTGCAACGAGAGCGACGTCTCAACCGCGATGTCATCATCACCGTCGCCAACAACGAGAACCTGAAAACAAACAGACAAGGCGTCGTTCAGCTTCAATCAATGGAGACAAACGTCATACTGCAACTCAACAAGGTTCTAATCGTCGACAACTTGGGATACAACTTACTCAGCGTCAGCCAGTTAACGGCAAAAGGGATTCACCTGGAATGCGACTCGGACTCCAACGAATTTCGCCTTTACCACGGGAAGGGCGGCCTCTTCATCGGTCGCGCTCTCCTGAAGTCGGGCGTCTTCGTGTTGGATTTCGTCCCCGACCGCGGTACTGCCGACAGCGATGGCATCGTGTCGTTCGCCGCATGGACGCACCCGCCGGATCTTGACCCTGACTTTACCCCAGATGGTTTCTGGTACTCCAACACAATACCTGCAGCAGAAAGGACCCGAGCGTTAGTAGTCATATGACAAGAAAGACGTACCAGCAAGTGTCTCACCCGCAATATCACCTGCAGTACCAGCAGCAGGACCTAGTCATGTGCCATCACCAGCAGTTCGAGGGCCACCAACCGAAGCAGACCAACTCATGCCAAACGCTAGAGGAGTTTGCCGCAGTCCCGCAACAGTCGTCGCGTTCTTCTCCAACACCAGTTTGTATCAGCGCTCCCCCGGCCATCGCGCTCCTGACGACATCTGGCACCAACGCCTCGGTCACCCTGCAAACAGTACAGTTCTACAAACAATCCAAGCTGGAGTATTAGAAAAGGACGCTCTCCTCACAACAAGCGGACAAGAGCTTCGACGAACTCGCGCCAGATGCTTCACGTGTCCTGAAGCCGATCTTCCATACCAACCCTTTCCGTCGCATCACAATCCAAGTGCACCTGCATACGCACCGATGGAAAACGTTTACAGCGACATCTTAAATATGCCACGAGACGACAGTGAAGCAGAATTCAACTTATGTCATCACATTCATCGACGCAGCAACAAGATACGTCTGGCACTACAACCTCAAGACACGCGATCAAGCATTCGAAGCCTTCACGACGTGGCTCCCCATCGCTGAACGAGAATCAGGAACTCAACTCAAGAGCTTCCAGTCAGACGGCGCACTGGAATACCAGTCACAACGATTTAGGAACTACTTGGCAGAAAGAGGAATCAGACGCCTGGTGTCTCTGCCCTACGCTCACCAGCAGCAGGGGGTCGCAGAAAGAATGAACCGGACCTTGCAGACGACGATGCGGAAGCTGCTCCTGAGGATGAGACTGCCCAACACGCTTTGGCCTGACGCGATGACCCATGCAGTTCACCTGCACAATTTGTTGTCCTCGTCATCACTTCCCAACAACGCATCATCGCACCTTCTGTGGACGGGAAAACAGGGCAGCACAAAATTACTTCGAGTCTTCGGCTGCATGGTATACCCCACACAGCACGCGCAGGATGATTCTCTGAACGAGCACGATGGGGACTACACCTCGGCATCGCAAAACATTTTTAAGCATGGAAACTTCTCGACATACAAACCGTGGCCTCGCGTGATGTGATTTTCTACGAACGACTGACGCTGCAACATTACCTGGACAGCATTGCAAACACAGAAGACCCCGCGAATGGCTTCGAGGGCCTTCGGTCCTTCGCCGACCGTGCTGCCGAGGCTGACGCAGCAGAAGAAGACGTACCTGGAGCTTCGGAAGCTGCCGGACCACTCCCTTACTGTTCCGTGCCTGTTCCACTCGACGATAGGAATAACCTCGAAACCCATTACCACTTCGCTGACAAAGGTTACGTTACACCTCAACCTGTCGACACGAATGTCTCAGAACGCATCGGCCCAAACTTTTTACCTGATCCAGAAGATGGTGACGAAGTAGCCTATTCCGGGAATGAAAATTCCCCTCGACCCACACCCACGGGCCTGCAGATACTCGGATTATGGGTCTCTGTCCAGCACCCACCGCCGCCGTCTCCGCGTGAGACACCGACTCTGTCGCAGGCTCTTGGGGGGTAACATAAGGCGAAATGGAAGGAGGCAATGGAAAAGGAACTGAAAGCTCTGCAAGACAGAAATACATGGAAGCTGGTACCTACAACAAACATCAATGGGAAGAACGTACTCTCGGGAAAGTGGGTGTACCGCATCAAGACTAATGCGGACGGCTGCATCCAACGATTCAAGGCTCGCTGGGTCGTACGAGGATTCGATCAACGATACGGAACCGACTACACAGAAACATTCGCCCTAGTCTCCCGTCACACCTCCTTGCGCATTCTACTCGCCGTCGCGGCCACGAAGAAACTACCACTGCGCCAGATCGACGTCGCAAACGCCTTCCTGTACACACCTGTGGACACCGAGATCTTCGTCGAGCAGCCCCACGGATTCATCGACGCCCCCACAAAAGTATGCCAGCTGATAAAATCCCTCTACGGGATCAAGCAAGCTCCGCGGCTTTGGCAGCAGCATCTTCATGGCCGCCTCGTCAGAATCGGGTTCCTACAGCTGCCGCACGACCAAGGCATGTACCGACTACAGAAGGAAGGGGGTTTTATCCTACTCATCGTCTACGTCGACGACCTGCTCTACATCGGCTCCACTACCGACATCGCCACCTGGTTCGAAGGGGAGCTGAGAAGTGACTTGACACTCACGGTGTCTGACACCGTGACCCAGTACCTGGGTCTAAACTTCGTCGAAGACAACTCGGCGTTCTACCTACACGCTGGAAAGTACGCAGGCGTTGTCGCGAAGAAATTTGGACTAACGTCGACTACAGTCACGACTCCCTACCGCTACGGGAACAACAACGACACCTCCGCAAAACTCCCCGTGAAGCAAATCCAGGAGTATCAGCAGAAGCTCGGCTGCCTACTATTCGCAGCAGTAACTTGCCGACCGGACCTATCTTACAGCGCGAGCCAACTGGCGACGCATCTGAAGCAGCCGGAACAAGAAGACCCCGAGGAACTAAATCGGGCACTACTCTACTTCGTCTCTACGCCGACGACCGGACTTACCTACAGTAAAGCAACGACATCGTCCGTACAACTACTCGGATACGTCGACGCGGACCACGCGGGAGACAAGGAAAATCGACGCTCAAGGACGGGCTACATCTACCGACTAGAGCCTATCGGGACTGTCTCCTGGCAGTCGAGCTAACAGGAACTAATCGCACTATCTTCGGCTGAAGCAGAATATATCGCCCTCTGCACTGCGACCAAGGAAGGACTTTACCTGCGAGAGTTACTCGAGGAAGCAAAGATTGCAACCCTGCCCGTCTTCTCACTCTTCTGCGACAACCAATCTGCGATCAAAATCGCGAAGAAAGACGGTTTCGCCAACCGAACCAAGCACATCGCCCTGCGGTACTTCTTCGTCAAAGATGAAATCACGAAGGGGAGACTTCAACTTAGTTACTACCCAACGACAGAAATGGCTGCAGACTACCTGACGAAGAAACAGGCAAAAGCAAAGTTCGATTACTGCATGCTACTGACCGGGCAGATAAATGTCACCGAATCCGGACACGGAAGCACTCCAGAAACGAAGGGGAGTGTTGGAAATATCTCGATGACTTAAGCGTTTCTGAAGTGTAACACCACACCTGAGGAAGATCGTAACGGGTACGCGAGTCAACGGAGGTTACACGAGGGGATGGACAAAGAACATGAAAGGACTCGAAGGGTCGCAACCGAAGGTTGCGACTGACCGTTACAACTGCAAGGATGGTAACTGAAGCGACAATCGAGTCGCTATGCGACTCGATAACCGCTCTTTCAACTGTATTCTACAACTGCTTTACTTTCCTACTTTCTATATATTGCTGTATGCTTGTTCTTTTAATTAATCACTTGCTCTCACATACTAGTGCAAGGGTTCAACTACTCAACTTCCGCTGCACTACTCAAGTATCTTGTACAACTGGGACTTAGTCTCTGAAAGATCGTAAGGGCCCTTTTCTCAACCCAACAACTTCTAATAGGATCCCTTCGATGTGTCACCTGGCGATGAGCCTTTGCTCCTAGACCTACTATAACCTCCAGAAGATGATTTCTTCTTCGAATAGTGCTTGCGCATGTGTCCCCCTAGAGACTGCCCTGTGGGAAACGCCCTGTCACACCGGCTGCACTTGAACTTGTTCTCACTCCCTGCAACACCTTGCCAAACCTTATCCGGCCCTTGGCTCTCGCCCCAGGGGGCCAGCAAGGCACCATCATCGGGCCCACTCACACCAAACAGGTTGTTCCCAAGCACCTCTGCAGCCTTCTGTGACAGCGGGCTGATCTCCCATGGCTGCGAGCTTTGCTGCTGCACTTGCAGCCTCGCAAGAGAAGGCCAGACACCAAGCGACCTGGAGGTTTCTCCAGCGAAACCTGCTGCAGCAGTAGCAGCAGCATTGGCAACAGCGTCAGCAGCAGCAAGACCAGCAATCTGAGTGTCGAGTTCATTCGCGTCGCAAGCAGCCAGGAGGCCATAGCTGCTGGCCATGCGCCTCTGGAAAACATCATCGCTTGTGGTGATGGAAGGTCCTTGCTGAGCTGGCATTGCCACGTCAGTGGCAGGCGCCACTACAGCAGCCGAAGAGTCGTAAACGTGTAGAGAATATTGCCTTGTTGGGGCCATAGCCAGGTACGAGTCGTGCCTGCGCCCATCCCATGTCTTGGACCTCTTTCGGCTGCGGCAAAGAGCCCCATCCGCTGTAGCATGAGAAGCCGCATCAGCAGCAGCTGTAGCATCAGCTCCAGCACTGGCAGCAGTGGCAGTAGCAATAGCAAGCTCTTCCAGTGAGCTAGAGCCCACCTGAGGCAAGAGGTACGTAGTCACCAGTTGGGAGGTGGGAGGGGCGGGCACCATCTGAGAGTGAGAGACATTGACCACCTGACATGCGACAGCGGCATTCGAGGCCGACACCATCTGAGCGTGTTTCAGCCGCAGCAGCAACAGCTTCTCTGCAAGCCGCCCCTTCTTTCCACCTTCCACCTCCTCCCCCTCCCCCACCTCCTCCTCCTCCACCTCCACCCCCACCTCCTCACCTCCACGCCTGACTGCCGCATAACCCCGCACCATCAGGTCCCTCCGCAGACCCCCATCACCTGCTGAAGACTCACTCCCACCTTCAGCCCTGTTGGAACAAGCCCTCAGGCTGAAGTCAGGTCCTGGGGATATGCTGTGTGCGCCCTGTGATGTCTCAATCTCCCTCTGCCACGTCTGCAGCTCCGCCAGCAGGTTTCTCTCTGCTGGAACCCACTGTGGTGGCGGCCGCAGGTTTCTCCCTGCCACTGCCATTCCGCTTTCCGAGAAGACAGGTTGCTGCTGAGGCTGCAGCCGCTGAGTCCGCTGCTGCTGCTGCTGCTGCTCCCGTGGCTCTCCCCCCTGTCCTGCTGTGTCATCGCTGTGCTGACCCGGTTGACCAGGTTGACCACCAGGTTGCACATCATGTTGACCACATTGCCCAAGGTGTTCCGCTTGGCCATGCATACACCTGGCAGAGACTGTTGAGCCCTGCTGACCAACGTCCAGCTGACGCCGTGCTCCCTCTCCTGCAAAAACAGGCTCATTCACGTCCTGCCCTCTCTTCCTAACCCCTCTCTCCCCAACCTCTCTCTCCCCAACCGCCTCCTCAGCAGGCTCGTTCAGGTCTGGAAGCGCGCGCCGCCCTGACTTGGCCCCAACCTTCCCCCGCATTCCACTCCTCCCACTCGCTCCACTCACTCCAGAGTCCCGCAGCAGTTTCCAGCCCCACTCAGGCGCCAATCCCGCAGCAGACCCCCGGTTCTGGTCAGCAGGTTTAGCAGCCGCCCAGGTCGGGTCAGCTGCACCAATCAGGGCGTCCGGAACCCAGCTCGGCCAGTCAGCTCCCAGGGCGGCAGTAGCGCTGGTGGGGATTCCGAGGGAAGCCTGCGCCTGAGTGCCGGCGGAAAAGAGACTGCTGCTCCACCCCTGCCTGGGGCGAAGAAGAGCTCCAGGCGCAAGGCCTTCAGCACACCCTGCAGCACGCCATGTAGGAAGACCGGCAGCAGGGCTAGGGCCAGCAGCAGGGCGAGCAGCAGGGTGTGCGCCAGTGGGAGCTAGAGCGTTGAGCGGAGTGTGTCCCGAGGGCGGTGAGCGCGCGCCGCTGCTCCACCGTATGCCGGGGGGAAGAAACACCCCTGATGCAGGCCGCCCTGCACCGGAGGGAGCCAGAGGGGAGAATGTGCTGCTGCTGCTCCACCCCACGCTGGGCCGGGGAGACCCCAGGGGTGCTCCAGAGAGCTGGGCAGGGGAGCTGGTGAAGAGGCCACTACTGACTGCCCGACCCGCAGGGGAAAGAGTTGCGGCTGATGGCAGCGGCATTGCTGCGAAAATCCTTTCTGACTGCCCGCCGCTAGATTCTCTGGTGAATGCCGAGCCCGTGAAGCCATGCGGGTTCTGTTGACCAGTATTTAAGACGCCTCCGGAGGCTCCGATTCGTAGCTTTTGAATCCTCTCTGCATGAGAGTATGCTGCAGCAGCTGCAGAGACAGAGACAATCCGCCGACTGCCGCTACTGCTGCCAGTACCAGTCCCAGTGGCGGCAGTGGGCGCTGCGTCCCTCTCGCCATCATGATGGCTCGTGAAGCCAGACCACAGCAGCAGCGGCTTTGGGGAGCTCTCCTGACGAGCCAACGCGCCTGACGTCACGTTGAAAGCGGCCGACGTCACGTTGCAATCGGGTGACGTCACGTCAAAATCGGCTGACGTTACATTTGCAACGGGGGAGGAGAAGCTGCCGCCAGCTGCTCGGAAAAGGAATTCCGCCAGGCTGCTCGCGTCGCTGCCGCCGCTGGAACCCATTCTGACGCGTACCAGGGCCTGTTGACCGCGTTGACTGCGTTGACCGCGTTGACCGCGTTGCTAGTCGAAACGGGGCCACAGAGTAATACGAGACCAGGTCGCCCCGAGGTACTATCTTGAACGCTGAGGAAAGACCACTTCTCAGGAAAGCTTGGTTGGAAGCTCCGAGAAATCTATTGCCGCCACATTTAGAGGGTTTAGGTCTGAAAGCAACTAACTTCCAGGGGACTTCAAAACTGCGACCCCAGTGAAAAGAGACTGCTACTAGTAGTACGCTATCGAGATTCCCATCCTCTTCCCACACCCCTTCAAAGCCCACTCTATGTCGGAGCATGGGTGGGGCAATTTTTGGGAGGTTTGGGTCGCCACGCCACTCCCTATGACCTGGCCTTTCCCGAATGTTCGAAATGGCGGCGGCGATTCTGCGTATCTCGGAAATGCCTCGGCCATGACGAGCACATGATGATCACGCGCACATGGCGCAAACCCATTTCCCTCCCATTCGAGTGGAATGCCTCCTATTCAATGCTGCTGGCGGTGAGTGCCGAGGCGAGTAGAGGTGAGTCCCCCGCGGAGAGCCCGAGGCAAGAATCCAGTTTTCCAGGACTGTCCGCAGTTATTGTTTCACAACTCCTCAAGCAAGTTGCAGTCGTACGGGGAAGAGCCATTTATCCCGCCGCCAAGCACGTCTGGTGCGATCATGATGCCACAGCACTGTTCGGATTACTACTTGTAGAATCCGGAGCTTAAGCTCGCTCCGAGCCGCGGAGAGGACAGGGGGGGGAGACGGGTCACGGGGGGTTTCGAGTGCACAGCACACTGTGCGAGAGAATGCCACTACAACAGTCTCCTCCCCTTTGCCTGTCAAGTACTGTACTAGCAACCAGTGGCCCTTCGAACCTGTTCCTCCGACACTGCGACAGCCATAAATTCGGTTCGGGCCCGCCGGAGGGCCCATCGGACGACTGGTTTGCGCCTAGCTGCGACGAGTAATCGTTTGGCTCGGACCGAGCCGAAGCTGAGACCGAGCGGAGGCTCGGTCGCGCTCGTGAAGCATAGTGACCGTTTGGGGTTTCATGATGATCAGATGACATGGTGGCCAGACAGAGTTATTATTACACTGGCGACGCGACGACGATACGAAACTGTATGCTTCTGCGTCCACTCTGACATATGACCCTATCATTCTCCCACCGACCCTAAGAACGTGTCCTAAGTGTTATGACAGCGGATGAAAGAACGAGTCTCGCCCGTTGATTGCCATACGCACGGATGACAACGGCTAGGATTCATTCTGTCATTGGATGAGAGCAGAGACGGAACTTCACTTTGGACACGCTCTAAGAGTGTGTCCAAAGTGCCCTTTGTCAACCGATATGTCATCCAACGGATGACAGAAACTGCAGAATTGCACGTAGGACGCCAACAGTCGAAGCACCCACCGTAACATAGTCACACGTGCCGTTTGCGGGCAGCAAAGGGCAGAAAAATCGAAAATAAAAATTTAACTCAAAATGTTACGATTTCGCGGGCCCTTCCTCGTCATTTTCGCCAACGTCGAAACAGGCAGCTGAATGTGGCATTGGCGAAATCAATTTGTGAAATTGTTGACGAGTCGTCAGCGTTGCATGGTTTCGCATCCATGTGCGAGTTTCGTGAATTTCTCCAAGCAGTATTTCGCAACGCGTGACTTCGTGTGTGTGGTGCCAAAATTGACTGTAGATTTTGGCATGCACTGTCCCGTTATCCTGCCCGACCGAACTGTTTCGGTTTTTTCGATTGAAGCCTGTCATCCGTTCTGTCATCCATTTGCATCCGTTCAGCCAGGGTCCTTTGGACGCGCCAAAACGGCTTGACGCCCTCTGTCATCCGTTCTGCCATCCGCTGTGATCCGCTGTCATCCGCAGAAATAATACTTTGGACACGCTCTAAGAGACGCCAGCAAAACATATTTTAAGGAAGCATAGGAGGAAAGCGGCAGCCATGAAGATTCTGTTCTGATCCGAGGTCACAAGGCAGAGAGCGAGAGAGAGGGCAGCGCACACACCGTGGGCCAGTGTCAGAGTGGGGGGCAGACTGTCAGACAGCCAGTCTCATGCGTCCAAGAGGACAGAAGACGATAGAGGAGAGGAGCCTCAGAGAAGACAGGAGTTCGCCGAAACCCTGATGATTGACATCACATGGTTGCCAGCGCCAGCCTGTGACGCAATCCCGCAGCATCATGGAGCACAGATGCAGGTGGCGAGGCGAGGTGTGGCGGGGCAGTGCTGAGCCATATCCCGAACCTGATGACTAGGTTCGACTGCCTGGTTTCTTGAACGGTGACCACGGGATGAGCTCAAGTTACTGACGAGCAGATGATCTGATCCGGTTCGGCGGGGGCTTGGTCATCTAAGCAAGCAGATTCTCTCAAAATCTTGAGATTCGTGATCGTTGGATTCAACTGATAGGCGGTGGTGATTAATTACCGGTTAGTGGCGACAGTTTCCCCTACTGGTGTCATGTTATGGCGAAGCAGTGCCCTCCCTCCCGCCATGGCTGTTGTGCTCTGTGCTGGCTGGCCCCTCGAAACATGGATAGAACCTGCGTCACAAGAATATTCGTTAATTTATATACACAAGTTGCAAGGAAATCATTCTGTTTGCCTAGAATGTAACGCGTACCTCTTTTCGCTGGCCCTTCTAGATCCTTCTGCACTACTTTTGCTCACCCGTTAGTGGTCGTTCAGGATCCGAGCCTCCGTCTCAGCCCTTACGTGCGGCTCGAGCCTCGGTGCCAACCTTGACGCGTTCAATCTTCTGCGAATTTCCTTCGTATATATGTTTTTATTTATTTATTATTATTTTAGCGAGCATACAGACCAAACTCAAGAGTAAAAGGTTTTGAGTCCCCCGACGCACGAAAAATTACGCGAAACAAACATGGTAACCAAATACCAGCAGGAGGGGTGCGATTTTAATTTGGAAAGATTTTGATTGGCTATGCGACTCCCCACCAACCCAGCGACAGAACGAGGAAAGCCTCTCCCCCCGCCACACCGGGATCCAAAGCTTTTGCTTTTTGCTCTGTTCTCAGTGACCATGGCTCCTTCCCCGCCATTCTCGAACCCCAACACAGCGCTTTTCTCCTATTTCATCATTCACGGGAAAGGTGCGGCTTATTAGTAATGTTTACACGTTCCCGTTGTTAAATTATATATTGAGTTATATAATTGTTAGGCTTAGTAGGTTACCAAACCTTATTGTAGAGGGTACAATCCCCTCCTTGTTTGCCTCTCTCTTTCTATTCCAACTCTCTTTTCTCTCCTCAACTTTTCTCCTTCCTAAACCTCACGCCACTCCATGGCTCCTCCTAGCTAAACCTTATGCCTTTCCTACCTTCCTAGCTAAGCTAGCTTTCTAACATGGTATCAGAGCAGGAGGTCCTCCCTGCTGGACCGCCTCCTCACGCTTCCGCCGCGTACTCCTCACCCTCGTTCTCTCGCGCGGCCATGGCGGCCACGTTTTGCTGCAGTGGCGGCGTCGTGATGCGGCTGGCCGCGTCGTGCCGCGGCCGTCTCGACGCGCTGCCGTGGTGTCGGGCCGTCGTGCTGCCGTCGCAGCGTCGACGTCCTGCCGCGGCGTCGACGCCGCTCTGTGACGGCGTCGTCGGACTGCAGCCGGCCGCGCGACGCCTGTGGCGCCGCTAGACCGGCCGCCCGCATGCCAGCCTGTGGCGCCCCCCCCCTCTCCCCCTTCCTTCCCCTGTGTCCTCTTCCTTTCCGCAGACGACGGCTGACTCCCGCCGGCCGTCCCACCGTCGCGGGGCCTGGCCACGTCACCGAGAGGTGCGGGCGCCGCCGCCGCCACCGCTGTTGTCGAAGCCGCCGCCGTCGCCGCTGTCGCCGCTTGTGTCGGGGCCGCGCAGCCGCACGCCGCCGCCGCCGCCGCTGTCGACACTGCCGCCGCTGCCGCCGTCGCCGCCGCAGCCCCTGCGGTCGATGTCACCGCCTCACGCACCGAGGGGTCGACCGAGCTAGTGTCGCTGTCACTGTGGCTGGAATGGGGGTGCTAGGTTAGGGGGTGTGGGGGTGTGTGTGGGCTTGTGACTACCAAGCCTAGGGGGTGTGTTAAATTATATATTGAGTTATATAATTGTTGGGCTTGGTAGGTTACCAAACTTTACTGTAGAGGGTGCAATCCCCTCCTTGTATGCCTCTCTCTTTCTATTCCAACTCTCCTTTCTCTCCTCAACTTTTCTCCTTCCTAAACCTCACGCCACTCCCTGGGTCCTCCTAGCTAAACCTTATGCCTTTCCTACCTTCCTAGCTAAGCTAGCTTTCAACACCCGTAACCCTGTGGGCGACAGCTAACTGCATGCTAGCTTGCCGCACTATCATTTTAGGGCGCGCCACGCGAAGACCTGTTATCTTCACACTGCCCTTCTCTCTCTCCCGCGTTCCGTTCATCTCTCTCTCCGCCGCAGCCCACCTCACTCTCCCCCGCTCTGTGCACCTCTCTTCCCCTCCCACTGGCTACCTCTCTCACGCCTACTCCACATCATAGTTCCTCCGACTCCCTTCCCTCGTTACCCTTGCTCTGCCCACCTCTATCCCCCCAGCTCTTCCGAAGGTGGGCTCTGGTGGGGGGGAAGGTGGGCTCTGGTGGGCGGGGAGGTGGGTTCGGGTTGGGGGAATGGTGGGCTCTGGTGGGCAAGGGTTCGTTCTGGTTGGGGGTGAGGTGGGTTCTGGTGGGGGAGAGGTGGGCTCTGGTGGGGGGGGAGGTGGGTGTCAATTTATACATATATGTACAAGTTATAGGCTAGCCTAGGTGTGTGCTACTAGTGAGTACAACCCCAACAGGTATATGTTATAGGTTTCTCACACTAGTCACCCCCACTACAACCCCACCCGTCATGCTCGCCTGGCCCGTCGCGCCCGCCTGGCCCCGTCGCGCCCGCCTGGCCCCGTCGCGCCCGCCCGGCCCGTCGGGCCCGCCTGGCCCGTCGCGCCCGCCTGGCCCCGTCGCGCCCGCCTGGCCCCGTCGCGCCCGCCTGGCCCCGTCGCGCCCGCCTGGCCCGTCGCGCCCGCCTGGCCCCATCGCGCCCGCCTGGCCCCGTCGCGCCCGCGTGGCCCCATCGCGCCCGCCTAACCCGTCACGCCCGCCTGGCCCTATCGCGCCCGCCTGGCCCTGTCGCGCCCGCCTGGCCCCGTCGCGCCCGCCTGGCCCCGTCGCACCCGCCTGGCCCCTCCGCGCCCGCCCGGCTCGTCGCGCCCGCCCGGCTCACAGCGCCTGCCCGGCCCCTCCTAGCGCCCACCCAGCCCCTCCTAGTGCCTACTCGGCCCCTCCCATCGCTAGCCCGGCCCCTTGGCGCCCGCTCGGCCCCTCCTAGCGCCAGCTCGGCCCCGTTACGCCCGCTCGGCTACTCCGGCCCCGTGTCCTCTGCTCGCCCGCGCTGGAGCGTCTTGCAGCCGTCCTCCAGGAGCTGTACCGCTATGTCCCTCTGCCGATGTGTCCTTGTGGAGCTGTGCCGCAGTGTCCCTGTGTCGCTGAGGAGCTGTGTCGCAGACCCTGCACGATGGCTGACTTCGTACTCCGCCGGGACGCTGAGGGCCATGCGGTTGACTTTGCCGCCTGATTGTCTGATCTCCGCCGTCAACTAACAGGTCAGCGCCAGGATGGGCACTCCTTGGTTGTCCATGCTGATGGCTTGCTCCCTCGCCCCCCTGCGCCTGCTTCGCTCCCTGCTGACCCCACCTCTGCTGAGAGTGAGGCTTTCTTTGCTGCTGCACTTGCCTGTGCCGTCTGGGACTCTCGCGATGCAGTTGCTCAGGTCGCGATCAGTCACACCCTCCCTGTGTCTGAGCGTTTGCGTTTCGCTACAGTTGATACAGCCAGGGCTTACTTAGATGCTGTTGTTGCTCGTGATTCCACGCCTGCCTCCGCTACTGCAAGCCGCCTGCTATTCCCTATGCTTTTCCCAGACCTTGCTTCCTTCCCTACTGTTGCTGACCTTGCCACTCACCTGTGAGCCCTAGAGTCTCGCTACCGCACTGCTAGCACTGCTGCCCAGCTCACTGCGCCCCCCCCCCCCCCTTCTGCATGACCCTCTACTTTATCGTTATGCGCCTGCCTAACCGCCTTGCTAGTGCACGCGGCCACATCCTTAGCCCGCACCCGGGTGATCTCACCTTGCCAGCCTTTATCACCGCCCTAACCGAGATCGAGACTCACCAGCGCACTATCGCTCATTCGAGCGGTGCGCCGGCAGTCTCTATCTTTCACGGTTGTGCCCCCTCCCAGTGCACGTTTACTGACGTTTCGGCTGCGGTCGCCATTGCGACCCCTCTGACCGAGACTGCTGCTGCGGTCCACCCGCAGCAGCGCTCGCGCCGCGCCGGTCGTGGCCGCCA